TTTGTAAACCTATTTAACTTACTATAAACATTCGATAGAGATATTTAATAATAGAATACATATCATTTTACTAGAATTATTTATTTTAACAGTAAGCCATTCATCAATTGACCTCCTTATATCCTGGTTTTCCCTCAATGGATTAGGCTAAGTAAAGTAGTTTTGTTATGTCTTTTGGTTAAAGAAACATCATACACAACTTCTTATCACGAAGACCTAGCGAAATTCATAAGGATTATTTTATACTTTGAACTACTCGTACTTTAATTTAACTTATGAATTAGTACAACTATATAAACATTTCAGGTTATCTAGACTTTTGCTAAAACATAATATTCTCCATAAAAACATAGTTAGCAATTTGCATACCAAATAATTCCCCATCCTGTACCATGTGACGGAGATAATGATATACCTGACCTACATCACCTGATGGACCTGTTAATAACTATGTCATTACATGGAATATTGATCATTATGGGCGTTATATAAAGGATATGGATTTAGAACGTGTGAGTGTCGCATTGAGTTATTTGATAACTCAGTACTAAATCTTTGCGTAAATTAGTATAGTTTGAATAAATTTTAGGCATTTTCTTTCGCAAAAAGGGCTTTCATGAGTATAAAGGAATGATAAAGGGAAGTAATCAGAATCAGAAATCATAAATAAGAAATCCTTTATTGTCCTTAAGCAAAACAATCTTGCAATAGACATAGTCACGTATTATGGTAAAATAGGGTTACACAGTAACCCAGTCAGACTAGATTAATAAGCTAATATCACAGACAATAACAGGTAAAAATGTAAAAGTAAAAAGAAGGCTGTAGGCTGGGTGGAGAATATAGGCTACTAGATAAACTAAACATTCAAACTTAAAAACTTTTACATCAAAAAACTCTTTAATCACATAAAAAGGATGTTTAACAAGCCAGTTGTTTATAGCCTATCCTTAAAAACCAACTCAGGCAATGCTCTTGACTCAGAGTGCAATACATTGAATAACTTTAAGCTCATGATTGAATGGTTACTGGCACATTTACTTAGTCTATGGGGCGGAATTTCAAGTAGAGAGTTAGATCTAGTGTAATGAGAATGAAAATCTTTTCTAACAGCAATTGGAGTACTTATAACTAAGCCCAATGCTACATATCCAAAGCTGAGCATTACCTCCACCAAAATCGGCAGTTTTTTATTCACGTGTTGATATTTTTGTGACATTTTCAGTTATGCACGATTCCAAGTTCAAGAACGATCATTTTAAGTACTAAAATTATTAAGATTCTCACAGCTTATTTAAATGTTGTCTACCCTGCAATACCCTAGGTTTATATTGTACAATTTACCTTTTACAGCAAACTGTACGTAACTGGAAGCTGATATAGATTTTTTATCTGTTTAAAATAATCTGATTCCCGGATTGCTTTCATCGAGTCATTTTCAACAAGATACATAAAGGAGGGACACATATATCCGATTCTGAGAAGTTAGAGTCAGTCAATTTGATAAATAAAATAAATAACTGTCATCTGATCTCTTGGGAATTAAGATGTAGGAGATCCGTAATTTCCTGTTAGACGCTACAGTGGATTTCACTTATAACTAATAATTTTCAGTTCTAAACCTACATTTGATTTGAAAACTCTTAGGCCATTCAGGTCCCTGTTTGTAAAAGAACGCAACAAAATTTAAGGTTAATTATTTTTTGTAACCATGTAAATAAAAAATCCTGTAGGCCTGATGATAATTATTGTAACAATTAGGTAAAAATTATTAAATAAGGTATATTATAAAATATCATCAAAATAATATGTTTATTATTTATGACAAAACAATATACTTGAATTATAAAATAATATCACCTTGAAAATGGTCATCAATATCAACAAGTTGTGCTATGAAAATTCCTCAGCATAATTGTGGTTTTAAGATCTCTACACACGCTCAACAACTTCATCGGATTATTGGAATTTCCCATATTGTCTTTTTTGCAATCCTGGCATATTGGATCCAAATATGCTAGTACTAATAAATTAACCAGTATGTTTTTATTTGTTTTTTTTTTATAAAATAGATTTTTACTTTTTATATATTTACCTGATAACTATGTGACAGTTACATTCATATGCGTATATGCTTACCAAATTAATTCTGTTATTCTTGTTGCAGACAATTTGTAGTGTTCTGCTGTTTATTTGAGAATATTTAAAAATAATATTTGAGATAAAACTGTATCTAAAAAGGTTTAAATCTTATAATTTAAAACTGCTTGTTTTATAAAGTTAGGAGTAAAAAACGTTTCAATGACAGTGTCACCTAAAACGGTTCATTTTACACGTTCTAAACTATAACATTCCTATAAAATAGCTTCAACTGATTTCTTCATAATCCATAGCTTTTTCGGAATTATTTTTTCAAAACTTATAGGAACTTAAAGTAGTGTATTCCGTCTATTTTTAGTTCGTAAACTCTGTGTTTTAGCTTAGTTATTATTACTATATATGGCTTACGTAAAAACCGTCATAAGTACGGTCGTCATAATCGCCTTATAACAAGATCACATTTGGGTTCCTATTCTTATAGGTTTAATTTTGACCCTGTATTGCATTGAATTTAGATCCTATTACCAAAAGTTAATTATATACTTTCAACTTTGGCTGAATAAAAAAAAATAGACGTATGATAAATCTGAGATACTGTTAAAGATAATATTAAGGGTGTTACGGGGGAAACGGCTAAAACAATTAACTCATTACTGAATTAGTACAGGTACGTTTTTATTACTATTTCTGTACATTTAAGACTGTAATTTTTTTAATAAAAAATAAATTATATTTTTTAGTCTTATGAAACTATAGCTAACAAAGCACAAATTAAAAAAAACAATGTAACCCGTATCCAAGGTTTCAGACGAAAAAATCACAAGTACTATAGTCTGTATGATGGAATCTGTCTCCTGACCCTAGATTTACCTGGGAATTGGACGATAGGAGAGCATTAATTGCGCCAACTGACCTGAGTTAGGTAGTCGGGTATTCCTGGATTGCGCCAACTATTGCAGAGAGCCACATGATACGTTCCCTAACTAAGCCAAAAGGGGCGGCCCTCTTTGGCTGTATAATTGAGTAGGTTAGGTTGAGTTAAGTTTGGTTAGGTTAGGTTACGTAAGGATATTGTAGGATAACGCGTAAACAAGGTAATTCCCTCTGCCGGCAAATCACCCCTGCCTATCTTGGGCTTGGCGCAAATAAGGAACATTTTTTGGGACATTTTGAGGCCTTGGCGCAACTAAGGAACTCTTTGGCGCAATTAATGCACAACCTAGACAATGGTTAAGGACCGGGCCTGTCTCAGATAGACAGTAGATCAGGAGACTGGGTTCCATAATTTAAACTGTATAAAATATAATATTTTAGTGCTAGAACTATGTGTGCATATACTTAACTTCTTGTCTCTAGGAATATAATGCATAACTCGTATTTTTAAATGCATTGACTTTGTAAAATTTGAAACAAACGTAAGGTTTTATTAAAGTATAAAGAGAAGCTGAAATCGAATATTCCTTCTGTGAAGATCAATCTAAACAAAATTAAATTTTCTTTGAGCTCTGACGTACCGAACTAATGAAGTTACACTTGTAACTTCAAACAGATGGAATATATATTTTTGGAACTTGTTTGCACTCAAAAGGGTATTTGAAAAACTTTAATCAAAGTTCATTAGGTTGCATACACCCTTAATTGAGTTAAAGGGCATGAAATACCAAAGTCTAGACATAGCTTTTAGTAAAATTTAGGAGAATTTTTAAAAATAAGCACTAGTAAGTGGTGTAGACCTTTGATTGGTCATCGAGGTGTCTTATTATATTTTATATTATTATATTTTGATCCTGAATGTTTTTTTCTAACCGCATATTCAAAAACTGACCAAGACTTAAACCCAAATATTTTTTTGTGTTTATCAATTTTCTTTTAATTAATTACTCAGAGATCAATATTTTGTTGATAAGAAAACGTATTTTAAATATTCCATCAGCAATGGTTGCAGGTTGATCAAATATGTACTTGACTTTATTAAACTTTCGAAGAACTAAAAAGAACGTCATGCAACTTCAATTACGAGAACTATTTTTACAGAAAAAAAATATAATATAATTTTAACGGCTGTTACTAACAAATTAATTTTGAACATTGTGTTTGAAAGGAACGCTTTTAAACGTTTAATGAGATAAACCGAACAAACATAACACCATCAGTGTAACATTTAGTAGCTTCCATTCATATTTACAAACGTTGTTTTCATACAATTGCATTCTTCATCGCAGCTGTCAGTCATTTGTGCATGTTTGTTTCTAGTTCACAGCAAATGGGTGTAATTTCTGGTTTAATTGAGTTTTTAACAGTATTATCTGCATGTTGCACAATACATTAGAACATATCTAATTAGGGTTAAACATTTAAAAACAACTTTTCAATTCTTCCAATAGTGAAAACCCTAAGTTATGGTGTGCATATACTCATATATCTATTTAATAAAATTTGTATTATCTGCTGCTAGAGTTTCAAAAAAATATTTTGTGAGATGCATCTTAAAATCGGACATTGTGCTTAATTAAATAAAACCACTCACTTTTTTCAGACAACAGAAACTAAACAACCTATACATATGCACCCTGAAGCATAATTCATTATTTTAATTCCTTATGTGTCCAACTCACTGTTTTGTAAAGGTAAAAATATATTTCGGAATTATTTTACAGTGTTGAATATTTGTTTAGGCCTTGAGGAGCACCACACACTTATAACTTACCATTGACTATTGGATTAGTCAAAGCCTAGGCAGTTTTACACTTTTGTTTTGCAATCATCAAACGTTTTTGGTTAGGGCCATCTGTTTAAAACGGAAGTCATGACCTAAATGCAACTTATTATTACACTCAACTAATTTTACAACGTTAACTACCACCATAAAGGTTGTTATAGCTACAAAGAAGTTATCCAGGTTGCTCATAAAAATAAACTGTCTTTAATTTCACAAATTTTAAATTATGCTGCCATGTTTTTCATCTTCAGAGTTGAGTGATTATGTGAAGTCATAGCGACAGTTAGGATTGGCAGGTCTTGCTTTTACTTCACCATCTCCGTTACATTTTACTGAAACATGAAACATGTTGAAACATAAAACATAACAAAATGCTTGTTATAGCATGTCAGCTTATCTCAAGCCATCTACCTACGATTATTTAACAAAAGGAATATAATCAATGTATAAGAATGTACAACAAAGGTAACTTTGTCACCTCTAAAACCTTTAAAATTGTAGCTACGAGAAGAACTCTGTCTCCACACTAATTTACTACCTAAAAATCATTAGTTACTTGGATATAAAAAATAACAATGTTGCTTGAAAATTTTAACAATAACATGGTTAATATGGCAATATTTTCGTTTTACCGTATTATAGCGGAATATATTATACCTTCAAAGTAAATAAAAATGATATACTTTCGATAACATCCCCTTATAAAAGATCGAAGTGAGTAATTACCTTTACCTTTCTCATTGAAGATGTCCCTCAATTAGGTTGATTATTGTTCTAAAGAAGACGCTAATCAATGTGGTTCTCAAGTGAGCTACCACGACAACACAAGGTCTGTTTTCTCTAGGCCTATTGCTTTCCTCGCGTCCTCCTTGATTCTGTTCTTGGTTCATATTAACGTTTCCTTGTGTGTTTTCCATTTTGTGTCCCGTGTAAAAAATGTATGTGTGTTGAAAATGTGATATTTTGTTTCCTTGGATACGAGAAATTGTATTTTTAGCGAAATCCTATAGGGAAGTAGAGTTCGTGCGTTTCTTCGTGAAGCATGGGCGTGAGGGGCTGTAGTGGCAAGTGGGGAGCCGAGCGCGGGAGGGGAAGTTGACGTTGCCATCCCGTTCGGCTACTAGTCTGACAAAAGATATTTCTCGGTATTTTTCGGAGGTCGGACCGTGGTGCGAAGGTGGTTAAGGTTGCCCGCGCGAATTGTGCGATCATAATGTAGGTTAATAAAGGGTTCCATGACAGAAATGAGTATTTTCAATAAAAACGTAATTTGTTATTTCATTAAGTGAAATATGAAAAAGCCATCCAACCACTTAACAACAAACTTAGATCATTCAGTACAAAGAGGCAAGGAACAGAAGCAGGTAATCTAAGTTACAATTAATCAGAACTAGAAGTTACTCGTTTGCTGAGGTATTCGATTCTCAGTGAGTTAACATTGCTTTCTATTTTGTGTACGGTTTATGGTTTAGACAAGATTTGTACCTGATAAAAAGAACAATGCATACAACAACGATGCAATAATGCATAGCATTTATTCATTTACTATTAAAAATTGCACTCTATAATCAATTTTAACGCTTTGGAAGTTTGTAATCTTTTGAATTTCAATTCCATGTTGTAAAAATAGAACACTTCTTCTAATTTGTCCGACATTTAGAATAAGTTCCATTGTACCTAAGCTATAAACAAATCGGAATTTTCTGTTATTCTCAAGGAAGTATGCGTTTGTAGGATTTCTTGTTTCAGAACATTTTAAATCGTTTCCTATTTGTAGCTCATTTCACAGATTTTGAAATAATGTTTTTTTCTTTAAATGCATCTACTTCAACTCCAACATTACTAAGGTACAGACAAAGTCATGAAGTAAAATATAGAAGCTACATTAAAAACAGTAATGATGTATAATTAAATTTTGTCTTTTTTACTTTACGTTTAAAACAAACTAAATGTTTTCTCACAAAAGATATTGAGTTTTATACAAGCTACTCCCGATTTCATCTTAGGGTTGTAGACACAATCCAAAGGGGGCTTAATCGGATATCTCTGACTAACTCGCAGCATTGCTTGAGTGTCCTTGTCCATACTATGATATCCAAGAGATATAAGTTGATAAAAAAGATTTGGTCAGAGGAATTCGTTTAAGTCAGGGTCCAACGACAAGTGAAAATTGTGTACCTTATGTATTCTCTTTGAAAATTTAGAAAATCCATAGCTGTAGTACGTAAGGTAATAATTGCGTAAAATATTATTATAGTTTCATATTAACCAACTAAATTGATGGCTTTACAATGTTACAAGTGTATGCAAAAAACAACATAACACATCTGTTCATAGGATATTTTAGGTTTCCTGTACATTTCCGTAACTTCAAAATTTTAACTGTATCTTAATGTTTTGTTCAATCAGCTTATTTTAGTGATAAATAAATTTGAATTTCCTAATACGAAAGCAGTTTTAGGTAAAATTTAATCTAAAATAGTTTGTAGACCCAAATATAATTTTGACCTAAGGCGATTATAATGGCCAAACTAAGGATTGTCTTTAAGCAAATTATGGTCTTTGATACATAATAGCTTTATTGTGTTTATGTTGTGAATTCACATTTTTTTATAAAATGAAGGCTATTTTATTTTGAGAATACGTCATCTACATCCACGAATAATTCAATAGACAACATTTTACAACAGCCAAGGATTCGTATTCGATTTACCGATTCCCATTCTTAAGACAATAGGTTACATAGATGGGTTGGCAGTTCACAATTTGTTTATTCATTGAACCTTATTTGCTAATTTAATAAAATTATATGATTATCATCCTTTTATAGGGAATCATATTTTCATTCATCAGAAAAGGAGGTATTTCTTTTGACGCACTTTCATTTAGGGGCAAGAGGCTTTTTACAAAAGTATAAAATATTTTGTTAAAATTATTTCTATAAACAAATACAATCACATTATTAATTTGCTAATTTCCTTTCAATAAATGTATTATATTCATTACACCTCAGATTTCCTACTCACCAATGCCTCGTCCTGAACACTGACCTGTAATTAATGGTATTGTTTAAATTTAATAGTATTATTTAAGTTCACATTGTGCTTTGAACAGTTTCATGTGCGTCAATTCTGAATGTTTCACCCAAAACGTAAAAGCTTAGAGAAGATGTCTAGGACTCTAAAAGGATGAAGGTTTTTATGCTCTAAAATATAGTTTAATAGCTGCTTTAATGTGCTTCCATCGCTTAAAAGCTTAGGGAAAAGAAACGTCGGCGACATAAAATACCAACCTTAACAGTGAAAGAGTACTTTATAGTATTCAAAGGATGTTCTCAAAAGACAATCTTTCCTACAAAAATGCCTTTTTTAAAACTTTTTCCCTAACAACATTATTTTTTTTTTAATTGCAAAATAAATTATTTTAACAATCAACAACGTTTTTAGTCATATTTTTCAGATTATTTGTATTATCATCACGTTTTGTTATTTAGATTAGAATTTTATTTATTCATGTTTCAAATAAACATTAATAAAATACGAAATTAGCTACAAAATTACTAAGCCACTCAAGTGTTTACTCATAGCATAAATTATTTATGCTATGAAATTATTTGTCTAACTGAATTTTAATATATTTCCTCATTCAGCTTACAACTTTAGAGGTGTATGATTAACTTAACTAATAGGATTCGAAAACAACTAGATATTGGGTCAAATTACCGATAAGAGGATATGAGCCCAAATTTAATCTTGTCTAAAGGCTATTACGGAGGCCGCATTGGAGCCAGTTTGTTGATGCATAAACATACTACTTTGAAACAAAACAAACTATACAATAGATATCTAGCTTCCAAACAGGTATGTGGTATCGTCATCTTCCTGATTATTGATTAAACATTATTTTGAAGTAAAAAAAACATATTTAAATTTTAAGGAAACCACTCGGATGGAAGCACTCGAATTTGTATTTTTTTTCTTTCCCCAGCTCTTTCATTTTCCTAGATTTATCTCTCTCTTCTTACTCCTCCGAATTTGGCTTTCCTCTCTTTTCATTTCCGTTCCGGAAAAGGTTACGTCCTGGAAAAGGTTACGTTCAAAGGATTGCCTGAAAATGTTTTGTTGTTTGGTTTTCTTAGGTTTTAGATGGTTAGGCCTAAACTTCCTTTTCTTTATTATGTATCAACAAGTCTTTCTTTTGCTCTCCTCCGATCACCATTTGTTATCCTTTCTAGACAAAACACTTTGCGTATTCGTCTGAGATTTGTTGATGAGCACATGTAGTATGTGTGTTACAGCGTTTGTGTCTTTCCAGACGTGGCAACCTTGAAGATGTTACGTTCATTTCAAAAACGTTTAGTTTTGTATTTCTTAAAATTTGCCTAACCCACTTTAATGTCAGCTGATTTGAGCGTTTAGCCTTTCTAATCCTGCTGGTCACACAGTTAGTTCCTCCGGCCTTTGGCGCAATGTTACTCAGCTATCGAAACTAGTCTTCTTGATGGATACATTAATTACTACAATAATATTGACGTTTGCTGCTGGTATAATAAAGCATTCAATGTATAAATAAAATATTTACGTACACTTTTTCGAATATTATGTAAAACAAACTAGGCCTACTTGTAATGGCAACTATGTTGTTCTTAGAGTTGCAAAAAGTATAACTGACACAAGATAAACAAATTTTAAAACTTTATCTATGAATTATAATAATGAAAAATTGGCTGTCATAAACAGATTTGGGTATCAACAGATTAACTTGACAGTAAATGCAATTGGTCGTACTGCTTTTGCGCTCTAATCCGGACCCCCAAAAGAATTAGCAAGGGTCACTTAATCCCCGATCTCGTTTGCGCTTTCTTCGGGCCAGGTAGCCAACGTGACAGTATTCCCTGCTAGACAACTATTTGTAAATAAACCCTTACACACTGGATAAATATTTGTAAATAAGTCACCACTCGCCTTCACCTACATTCTTTTATATCCTTCCGTGCATACTCAGATCGGCTGAAATATTTTGAAATATGCCACTCGCCATCGCATACATTCTTTCCTACCCCTCCGTGCATATTCAGATCAGCTGAAATATTTTGAAATATGCCACTCGCCTGTGCCTGCATTCTTTTCTACCCTTCAGAGCATGCTCACGATTGGCTGAGACTAGCATTCCATAATGACACATTCTTCAAAACTACTTATATAGTGCGTATTTGGCCAAGTTTTACAGTTATCAGCTAGAAGTGATGGAGAGAGTGACAACCACTAAAGGGAAAAAAAGTAAAAATGTGTAATGTTTTAATAAGCCCATAATAGAATACAAAGAGTACAGC